GCGCCTGGAGGTGACCTTTGTTGTGATTTGGCGCTATATAAATAAAATTGAATTGAATTGAATTAAAGAGCTCCATCTACTAAGGAGTCAAAGAAATGGACCAGGACTCACTGGTGGAACTACAATATGTATGTAACTCATAAGAAGAGTGACCAAATGTGCAGATGGTACTTGGATGGACTGTGACGGACACACTATTGGTCGATTTAAAAGAAATCAAAGAAATCAGTCTGATGTGTCACATTTCATCTGTGTTTCCTGTACTACTGCTTTATGTCTGTATTGGCCTCACACAGTGTTGCACCACCATGTCTAATGTGTAAAAAAGACAATATTGGCTAAAGGTGGTACAGGTAACATTAGTAACAATAATGGGACGGTTTGCACCATAAGAGTAGCCGTGGCTCAGAAGGCAGACCAGGTCGTCGACTACATGGAAACTTGGTGATTCGAAATTTAACTGGCTCCAGTGTGCATGGGAGGGCTGTCTGTTTTTCTGTGTTAGCACTACAACAGGTGTACCCTGCCTCTCCCTCTATGACAGCTGGGTTAGGCTTCACCCTGACCCCCCCAAAGCCAAAACTGCATAAGCGGAAGAAATTGGATTTACACTAACACCCACTTGGTTGGTTTCAGTCGTTTTCCATTACAATCGAGTGCCACCTAATGTACTTGTGGCTGTTATATCAATGCGGCCACAGTCCCTTTGTCCTGTGACATCATGAACACTACGGAGGACGTCAGGACAATTGTATACCTGCTGCTCGGTGTTTCTTTTTATCAGACAGGTTTCAAAAATGGTGGTTTTGATTTCTGTGAAGGAGACTCTCTCATGACTCATTAGGGGGTACCACTGAGTAGCCAATCGGTGGATGCATTCTCGACTCAAGTAAGTAGTATAAAAAAGTACCTGGTACCAGGTACAACCCTAAAAACTGAGCCATGCTGCCTCGAGTATGTACTAGTGGAAAAGGGCTAATAGTAATAATAATTTAATGACATAGTCATTGGGAACTAATGTCCTGCCTTTAACTTATCATGAGTACAATTTCCTAAATATATTTATATAACAGGCTATTCCTTCTACACTGCTGTTTCTATCCTTTTACTTATGTAAAGCCTCTTAAATGCTTCTTTACCACCAGATAGCATACATCAGCTATTTGACAGTTTTCCATTTTAAACTGGCTTTATCAGAAAGGCCCTTTGAGAATGCTATGCCTTCTCTCCTTGGGTCATCTGATGACCTTTTGAGCAAGGTCCATATGCTAAACAAGACCTTAAACTATAACTGAAAGTTTCCAAAATAGCAAAGTAAGTAGACTTTGTTGTATTAAAAGTCAACCAAGGCTCTCGAAAGCATTTTGTTTGGAATTAAAAGAAGACAAACAACAGCAAACGGGCAAGATGTGTAACTTTCTACATACAGCAGTGTGACATGTCATGCCCACAGCAGTGATTGCGTATCACTAGAGCTGTTGCTGATACAGCTGTCACGTGCATCTGAGCACAGTGAGTGAAAGGCGACTGGAATTACTTCATATTCTTGAGAATGTTTCACCACTCATCCAAGAGGCTTAATTAGTTTTACCGACTCTTGGGGGGGTTATGTGGTATTTAACTTCTCCGGGCGATTAAACAGAGAGGAACTCCTCACCAGTCAGTAGAACTGATGAAGCCTGATAGATGAACAGCACATTTTCTCCCAGACTACAAAGCAAATTTAGATTCAGATTGTTTTTTCTTTTGTTTACTACTACTTAATATTCTCTGACCTAGGCGATAGCGAATCTTTATAGACACATGAGCAATACTGCACTGCAACAGCAATAAACCCAGTCATGTTTGGCGTGCTCAGCAGTGATTCACTTCTATGGCATTTTCCAGGTAATCTATTTCAAAGCTTTTTCATCTAGAACTTTCAAAATGTCAGCTAGAAAGTTTTCTGCACTTTCAGACACACCTACAGTAAATAATTAGGGAGGTGCGAGACACAAGGTCTTTTGAGGATATAGCATGTCCTTTTTAAAACAACTGTGGTCAGCACATTCAACTTAAGCAACACATCCCACACCCTCAACTTTACATCTCCTACCCTGAGGCTTGATGACAGTGAGTCAGAAAGATACAGTGAGTGATGTCCTGCCCTCTGTCACATAAATGGACAGAAATGGAAGAAAGCAGTGGCATGAAAGAGAAGGTGGCTTGGTAAGAGAGGCAAGGTATATAAAGAGACGGGTGGTCTGTGCAAGATAAGGAATAATGCTCTATCACATTCTGACACCGCTGTCAGTAGTTCTAGTTATAGCAGCAGTCAGATTTGTGTCATATCCTGTAAGGACAGGAAATGGTTGAGATTGCATTCTATGAAAACAACCATTAACAATAAAAATAATGAATACTTTTATGAGTAATGGTGGGTTTAAGTTCTCATAATTCAGAAATTTAGAACATGTTGAAAACCCAACAGGACTGTGCACACCAGTTTTTAAATATGTCAGACCCTTCAAAATCCCACCAGAGGCTAGGGAGCAAATCACCCTGGAGTGAAAAGTGAAGAACTGTGTTTTTTGAACCAAACGCTGAAGCGAACAAATAAGGCCCCAGGTATTAGACCTCAAGGCTACTATCGCTGTTTGATGTGACACTATTTTGTAGTTTGACTAGGGCCAGGAAGCCCCCACATCAGGTGGGGATGATATGGGGCCATGGCTCACAGGTTCTCTGGTCTAATTTACCTGTACTTCTCCCCTCAAAGAGAGACAAGCATAATTAACAGGACCAAAACACCCACCACGGGCTGAGCAGAGTCATTTATGGGAGTGACTCGGGAGGAACGGCAGCAAATGAAATGTAATTGCAATGGGAGCAGAGGAGCCGGGCTGGTGTGTCGGAGGCACTGATGTGTGTGTGAGAGGGAGAGAAAGAGAAAATGAACGGGCCAGACATGAGGGAATGAGGGAGTAAATGAAAGACTCAGAAGTTAGATAGAGAATATGCACTTGAGAGAAGAGCAAGCAAAAGAATGACTGATGAGGGATCGCGGTGGATGGGCTGAGATAAAAAAGTGGGAAGCTATTCCTTTAGGTTAGGTTAGAGCAAAAAAAAAAAAAAAGTACCATGGTTCACCTGATGTTTGACAGAAAGGCAAAGTCAAATTAAAGGATCAGTTCAACAAAATTACAAACTCTAGATGTTCACAGCCATACAGATAGTTTCATTTCCCCAGGTGCTGAGTTACGTTTGGAGATTTATTGCAATACCCAATAAAATGGAGGTGACGGCAAATGGAATTTTGTTGCAGTGCTCACGTCTTTGGAAATTTAATTTAAAAATTCCACAGCAACGTCTCATCACAGAGTCCTCTTACACAAATAATCCAGGGACCACGTTTTCCAAAGGACTTTTTCTTTCTGTATAAAGTGCTTCCACAGAAAAAAAGTCTATGAAATATGTAGTCTGTGGAATATGCTAAGCAAAAGTGTTGCTGGAAAGGGATGTTGTGAAATTCTAAGTGCTGCAAGCACCACTAGAAAGCTGTAAACTATGAATATGTTTGCAAAAAGAAGGGCAGGCGTGTGGTGTATTTAGAATGGCAAAACACTCCAGAAGTAAAAGAGCAAATGTTTGTGTGTTTGTTGTTTTGAATAGAGCCAGATATTGACTCTTGTTATTATACGGTCTTCTAATGATATTATTATCGGAGATGCGCGACTATATCCAAGCGGCCCTCTGTTAAAAAGCTTTTATTAAAAGCAGCAGAAGCTTTGCTGGTGATGTTGTAACCGGCCCTTCAAATGTCGGCGTGGCAGCAGTTAAACTCTGCCACGTCCCCACTTCAACCTGAGCATTATTTGCTGGGTACACTGCATTTATGACTGTAATCTTTCATCATTACAGTCATTATCTTTATTTATCACTGATTTTAAGAGCATTTAAATTGACCCGGACTTACTTAGTTCATCCACTAGCTTTGCCCCCCCTACTTTTTCAACTACCCCTCTCTTTCTCTTTTCCAGCTGTCCCTCCCTCAGTCACTTTCAGTTTACGGAGCACTGGATGAGAACTGACCCGGGGTCAACTATGTTCCTGTCGCTTCCAGGCACAACAAATTGGGGTCACTGGGATGTTGGCATGGTTTGATCACACACACACGCACACACACATGCACGCAGATGGTTGAGCGTAGATAACAGTGATAGCGTATTTTAAGTGAGTGTGAAGAAACTGTAGGATACTGCAATATCACCATTACAGGTACCATAAAACACTTGAGCTGTGAACCTAACTACACACAGCTTTTAAGTGCATGACTTCAGCAACATGATGAGTGGACCAGGGTTATCAGGCGTGGTCCTGCTTGGTAATTAACGGAAAGCCCACCATCAAATTGACTATGAGCGTTGAATGTAATGTTGGCCAGACGAAGCACAAGGGTCAATGAGACAATTAGAGCCTGCGTAAAAGCATTTTTTAAATGCCCGCTGTCCCTTAATTGCCATTTCAAGTCATTAGAGGTGGGTTTAAATGACCTTTAAGACTAACATATGAAAGCAATAAAGGCAGAAATGAGGGTAATAACTAGTTTGACAGTAGATAAAAAGAAATGTTAGTTCACAGTCATTTTCCTGATTCTACACACATTAATGTCTTGCACTGACCCTTGCAAGTACTACAAAATGGCATTTTAAGGGGAATTCTGCAACAACTGGAGAAGTTCTGTCCAGTTTTCCAGTTTTATGAGCAAAAGTTTAACCTTAAATGATTATTCTCCTCTAGTGCTCAAACCATGACATTGACATCTAGGAACTGACTTGGGAATCTGCTTTCCCCTGAACCCGACTTCTCTGCCATTTCACCTTCCCTGCCCAGGTACTTCTTAATCCATTTTATTGTGGACTTTCTCCTCTGATTCAACTGGCTGACAGTTCCTTCACTGTATTTTTCCAATTCCCCTAACAATTTCATCCCCCATCAAATACCCCAGTACAGTATCTTACTATGTGCAGCTCCAGGTAATCTCCCAGTCCCCTGGCACTCTCCACCCTGACCAGAACAGCCTCCTTCAGCTGTGTGCTGAAGCCCACTGCCAGCCGGTCTGCCCGTGTGCTCGGCCGGTCATTGGGTGGCCAGGTATATGTGATGAGGGCTCCGCCTCGCCCGAAGATGTATGTTGTCCCAGCTGCAAAACACAGGGAGGAAAAGGGAATTACGGCTTAGTTCTTCAACATCTGGATAAGAAAGAAGTCAGCATGTTAAGTGAACTCTGAAACACAAACAGAGAATATATTCCACTGTGTAAAACTGGAAAAAAAAGAAAAGAAAAAGAAGACAGACTCTATGGACAACAAAATTATGTTTTTTTCCCTGTTATTTGTTATTATATGGTGCAATAACATTTCAGCTAGCGTTATTGCTTTCTTATGGGTTGCATATTCTTTTATTGATTTCTGCAAGTTTAAATTGAATAGCGTTTCAGCAGAAAGTCAGTAGTTACAGGAAGTCCGCATCAGAGAGAAAGCACTACGTCTGGTTAAAAACATACAACTCAAACATGTTACTGGTAGCGTACATCTTGGTCGCAAAGTCGCGTCTAGCGTGAGCCCCGGTATGTGCGGGATGTCACTCGCCTTTGAAATGGTAATTCGGCGGGCTTCATTTGCAGTCAGTTGCCCGCAGTTGCGTTGGATTCAAACTAGGGCGAACTGACAAACTTTGAGCTCGCTATGCTGTCAGTATAACTACCATCGCTCAACATTTAACAAAAGAAATTCTCCCTGTCAAAATAACTTTGCCTTAACAGTACTTTAAGCTCCAGCCTTGAAAAAAGTACCCGCCCCATACATGGAGCGATTTCATGTTTGAACTGTAGCAGAGTGGTTAGGACTTGGCTTGGCTCCAGTAAGCCTGGTGGTAAATGAGAAATGACGGGCGTTGGCTGTGATTAGCATAGAGTAATGAAACCACAGTGAACTGCTCTCAACCCTGTGGGCTGTCTGTCCTCCCAGGATCATAAATATACATACACACAGGCGCTCTGTCTACATACTAATGCGTGCATATTTTGCTATACGAAGCACATAGTTGTATCAAGAAGATTACGCAAGTAAACAAGCGATTAATACACATAATTAAGCGCTAGCCATCCCAATGACACCTCACAAATCAATGCAATTGCTGTGATTTTGATAATAACATGACTATAGAGTCACGCATGGTCGCAGAAGTGCACGGCAATGGGTTTCATCTCCACGGACGCATCGATATACATAAACGACTTTCTTGGTGTGGTCAGGTCAAAGATGGCAGAAAGCAGACGCTATAGTGACAGCATGTCTTACGCAAGGAAGAACACTATTCAAGTATGCACACGTGCAGGCTTCCTTAATGTGCGCGCACGCTCACGCGCACGCTCACTCGTCTACCTGACACTTTCATTATCTAACAATCTGCTGGTAGCCGTTTGAAATCGGCTGACACACACAACTCTCCTCCCGATCTCTCGCTTCCTCTCTCCCTTTCTGCCTCTCATCACCCCTCCTTCCCTCCATCCTTCCCGGCAGAGCTAAGCCCTCCGCTCAGCTCTTGTTGTTTTCTCGAGGCTGTATTATTTTAGCGCTGACTAATTATCGCAGCATGGCAAGGAGGGCTATAAAGAAGCTTTGTGCCGGAGGAGGAGGAGGGAAAAAAAAAAAGAGGTTGAAGAAAGACAGGGTATGGAGGCAAGGAACTCAGAAGACGGGTAATGTGCAAATTGTGGATGGTGAAGAGAAGAAGTTGACACTTTTGGTTTTTATTTCTTTCCTGTGTTTATTTGTGCAGCAGCATAGTTTCTCAGAAACTGGGCAAGAGGCAATTGTGGAGGAAGAGGAAGGAAAAGATTTCTAAAATGGCCGACGAGCAGAGAGGGAGGGGAGCCATGTTGTGATAGATGAGACTGAAGCCGTGTGAGGAAAAGGAGAAAATGGTTTCTGGTAGTGGAAGTTGTTGTACATTAACGTAGGCGATTGCACTTATGGGCGAGAAAGGGTTCATCACCCGTCACTAATTTTGCATGTCATATTGAATTTTCTAGTCTGACAGATTACTGCTCAGCCTGTGCAAACATATGTGAGCCTACACAACACCGTCTGCCAAAAGTCTGGGCCGCTGTGGAAAATAGAATCAGTTGAACCGTACAGATACAAAATAATTAGGTGCTAAAAACAAGAGTTATTGTTCTTTTGAAAGATACATTATTCATTTTGAATATAATCAAAGCAAAATGAAAATGACTGAAAATTTGGGATGGGAGAAGAAAATCTTAAAAGGTTGTGCTTAAAAAAGCAAAGTAAGTAAAATAACTGTCAATAAACAGAGTACAAGATAATTGAGTTTTTCAAAGAGGTTCACCACTCTGTCAAATCACCTTCAACTAAGTCTGTGAAGGTTCTCAGTCATCCAGGTCATCGTAGTCAAAGGAGCTGCAAAGAAAAG